TAGCCCAGCCCTGGGCTCCCCTCTCCAGCTCTGCCGGTGCCCCTCACTCCCGACCCGCAGCCCCCTGCACAGGGCTCACCCTCGACGCAGTTGGTGGAGAAGAAGGTGATGTTGCGGGTCTCCAGCGGGTTGTCGTGGGTGCAGTCGGGGGAGCGGGTCTGTGGCTCCGATTCGCCCGTCAGGGAAGAATTATCCACCTGTGTGGGGGGGGGGCGGCAGACCCAGGGTCAGAGCTGGGGGCGGCCCATTGGCTGCCCCCCTCCACCGTGGAGATGGGACCCCAGGGCAGGGCAGGGGGATGAGGAACAGGGAAACCCAGAGCAGGAGCTCAAGGGGCTCTGGGCTGGGAGTCCTGGGGGTGGGGCTGGGGTGGGGGAGGGTGGCATTTGGAGATGGGGAGTTGGAGCATCGGCGGTTTTGAGAGTTAGGGGAGAAGCGGGGGTTGGGGGGCTCAGAGTGGCAGGTTGGGGGATGGGGGTCGTTGCAGGGGATGGGGGCCGGAGCGAGGGATCGGGGGCCAATCACTGGGGGGCCGGAGCGGGGGATGGGGGGGCTGAGCACTGGGGGGGCCAGAGCGGGGGGTCTCACCTTGCAGCCGTGGGCCGAGATGATGCGCAGGTCGGCAGGGACGCGGTCACCCCCCTTCACCTCCACCAGGTCCCCGACGACCACCTCCTCCGCGTTCAGCTGCATCTTCTCCCCTTCCCGGATCACCAGGGCTTGCTGGAGGGGGAGGGGCAGGGGGTTATGGGGAGATCTGGGTCCCGACCCCGAACTCTCATGTCCCCAAGCCCCAGACACCCCCCCCCCACCTACGAATACAGCCACATGGGGGGAGGAGCAGGGGTGCTTTGTGTAAGGCCTACAGAAACCAGGCCAGTGGGGGCTGGGGGAGAGGACAGGGTATTTACCGCTGACCCCCGCTGAGTCCCCCCATCCCCGCCCCCCTGGCCCCCTCACCTGGGGGACCATGTTCTTGAAGGACTCCATGATCTTGGAGCTTTTGGCCTCTTGGTAGTAGGAGAAGCAGCCGGTGATGATGACGACACC